ACCACCACACCTGTAATTATCTACTGTATGAGAAGCTGGGATTATAGGTGTGCACCACCACACCTGTAATTATCTACTGTATGAGAAGCTGGGATTACAGGTTGTACCACCACACCCGTAATTATCTACTGTATGAGAAGCTGGGATTACAGGTGTGCACCACCACACCTGGTTCATCTATTACTTTTTTAAAAACATAAGCTTCATATCTTGTTCTTGTTTATTTTTTTCTCCCCCCGCCCCCCAAAATGATGTATGCTCCTATTGGCCAAGAGAACTGATCTGTCTGTTACTGATGATACTACGTATCAAAGTATCTAGGTTTGTAGGGTAAATGAACAGCCACTTTGTGCTGTATACTTTTAATTTATTCTCTTCTGTAACAGAAGCATTCATGTTCTCATTTTGTAATAGGTGAGGGGCAATAACGAGAAAGTGGTTTGCAAAGCAACAGAGGTTCTGAATGGAGAAGGAGGTCTGAATGATTGAATCACTGAAAAGTGGTAGTACAGCCTGTCTGTTGGCATAGCAGGCAGCTGAGAAAGAGAGGATCAGGGGAGAATAGACAATCTGCCAGCGAACAGCTGGGACCTGGCAACCTAGCACCACGACTTTAGGTCTAAAGTATGGATAAAAAAAAAATTCTTAAGACTGCAAGAAAAAGTTATTAGGGATAGAATAGGAAATTAATTTCAGGGTGAGGAACACATGGTTGGAGCACCAATTATCTTGAGCCTTATAAAGGGGTAAATCAAAAATCAAATGTTGTCTTCAAGTCCCAAGTCCAAGCTAAGACACAGACGTGGATACGTGGCTACTTGTACACACGCTGGTTATTGTGAGGTTCCCCCAGGGATTCTCCTACTGGGAGCAACTTCGGTCACTTGAAGAAGAATGTTGAGTGATTGGTAGACAAAATGGTGGAGGGATGGATGGATGGATGACAGGTGAATGGATGGATGGATGGATGGATGGATAGATAGATGGATGGATGGGTGGATGGATAGATGGATGGATGATGTGAAGATGACTGATAGGTGGAAGGATAATTGGAGGAAAGGAAGGATGGATGGATGGATGGATGGATGGATGGATAGTTGGAAGAAAGGATGGATGGGTGGATGGATAGATAGATGGATGGATGATGTGAAGATGACTGATAGGTGGAAGGATAGTTGGAGGAAAGGAAGGATGGATGGATGGATGGATGGATGGATGGATGAAAAAATGCAAAAAAGAATCATCACCCCTTATGCCCCTTCCTTGAGATCTCAGGTGCTTACGCAGCCACCTCCCATGAGTACCCTCCCTCCACTGTCTTCATTACCCCTGCCTGAAACAGTTTCCCTGAGGTGGGTTCTCTGAGCCCCACATTCCACTGGTCACCTTCCCTACGTCCCTCAGAGTGTACCGGTCATTCTTTCTGGCTTTTCTTTGGCATGAATAGGAATTAATTTTAAACTTATGTTTGAACAGCATTGTGAGGCGAATTATCTTTGTGTACCTAGGAGCTCACCCCTAATCTCTATAAGCAAAAACCACCCTCATAGGAAGAGACGACTGAACATGCTAATAAAGGTAAGTTGCTGATTGTAGAGTCTGGAGCATAGAAAATGCTGGACACGTGCCCAAAGTCACCGTCATCACCCTGAATCCTCACCTGTCGCCTGCATCTCCAGGCGGCTGCTGCGGGAGGAGCCCAGGTGTGGCCAGTGGCACTGGTAGTACACACAGCTGTAGCTTCCCCCGTCCTCGCCCGACTCGCGGAGCGTGAAGTCGGTTTGGTTTTCTCTCCCCTCCTTGACTTGCACGGGGTCTGGGGTGCCTGTTCTCAGCAGAGCGGTGATGAGGCACTCAGAGCCATTGTTGGGAGTTAGGCATCGCAGTGTCCTGTGACCTGGAGCAGCCTCGGGGTCTGCACTGACTGAGAGGGAAGGTGCTGGCCAGGATCCTGGAGGACAGGAGGGAGGGGAAGAGCCAGGGCTGAGAGGCCCCACACGCCTTGGGGCCTTGGTGGCCTTGAAGGAACTCCCCTTAACAGCTGGGCTAGTTAATCCCATTGCCAGGCTTTGGCTTCCCAGTGCCAATCACCCCATCCAGAGCCACATGTCAGCCCCCTGCTCCACGGGGCTCTCATACCACAGTCCCCCTCCCCACCACCCAGGACCAAGTGCAAGCCACCAGGAGCACTGGGACAAGGAGCGGGTCCCAACCTACTCTTTCCCATGGAAATACAAGGCGGCTCTTGCCCGCAGTTCTCCCTCCCTCTGTGGCCTGAGCAGCGCTGGCACCCTGCCATGGAGCCTCCATGGTGCAGTCAGCTCCTCCCCAGGCACTGAGTCACAGCTGTCTCAGCGGCAGGTGTCTCCTCGTCTGATGGCCTCCCTGTACCTTGAACCCTTAATTAATTGATTATATTCTAAAACTCCCCCCACATCCGCATAATGAAGACCCCCGGGAATCCCCACACTCGGCTCCCACCTCCCCAGCTCCCCACCAGGTCTGTCTTGGCTCCTGGATTCTTCTTCCCCAGCCCATTGCAGCAGAAGGAGGCGATCTCAGGCCGCCCCCTCACCTGTGACCACTAGCTGTAAGCGCTGGCTCTGCTCTGACCATTGGCCGGTGGTCGCCGTCTTGTAGGCACAGAAGTAGCCCCCGGCATCCTCAGGCTGCAGGCTGGCCAGGGGGAACTCAGCCTGGGTTTCTGCTGAGCTCTGCTCCTGCTTGAACCCAGGGTCGTGTGACTTCCCCAGCATGAAGGTGGCGTTCTGGAAACCAGCCCGGCACTGCAGAGTCACACTGCTCCCCAGTTCCACCACGGAGCTAGGCCAGGCACGGAGCGAGGGCCTGGGAAGCTTCTCTGGAAAGAATTCAGAGTTAACTGCCTCTTCATCTGGAAGACGGTGAAGCCCTCCTGGAATCAGGAGGATTGGAGGAGAAGGCCAGAAAACGTGGAGCGCAGGAACGCCCAGGGGACCGGGGGACACTCACCATTCTCTCCCTGGTCTGCAAGGCCCAGGCACAGCCCTGGAAGAGAGGACGCGATTGAGGATTGAGAGATGGCTGTGCGCCTGGCTTCGCGTGCAACCAGGAGAGAGCGCGACTACCAGGGTTAACCTCCGTGGGTCCCCACAGTTCCCCACAGTTCCCTGGGCCTCACTGTTGTCACTCAGAAGTTGTGCACAGAGGGACACTCCCACAACCCTACCTGGTGATTTTGCTTTGCTTTCAGGATCACCAGGTAGAAATCACTCACCTCGGCCTCCAAGGTTCCAAGGTTGTGGTTCTCTGTCACACACTTATGTAAATGCGAAGGTTGCATTACCGTGGGGGTGTGCAGAGGGTTTTCTACGCCCCGGGGGGAATGGGACACCAGCCTGGAGCGTTTTTTTTGGGGGGGGGGAAGCTAGTACGTCTCTGGAGCCACCAACTGTCTCAGGCTGTTTGTCCTTGTTTTGAATCAAGTGGGGAGTCAGCGCGCAGACGCCAGCCTCCCCAGGAGGGAGAGAGGCAGGGCCTTAGACAGGACTTGAGCTGTGTGAGCGTGGGTACGGCCATGAGGGTAGGTGGGGACTGTCCTCCAGGGGGACCCATGTCAAGGGGCCCGTGTCACCCTGGCTCTGCTCTCTGCAAGCTTCTCTTCTTCAGTACCTATAAACTGGAGCTAGTTTCTGGTGCTCTGGTAGTTGGGAGTTTACTTTACCATCCTCTTCTGGGGAGCTCAGTTTCTTTCTTTTCTCTTTTTGTTTAGGGGATTGAACCCAGGGGCACTAAACTCTGAGCCACACCCCCAGCCCTATTTTTTATTTTATTTAGAGACAAGGTCTCACTGAGTTGCTTAGGGCCTTGCTTCTGCTGAGGCTGGCTTCAAACTTGTGGATCCTCCTGCCTCCGGAGCTGCTGGGATTACAGGCGTGCGCTTCTGTGCCTGGCTGGGGAGCTAGGTTTCCAGTGTTGCTCTTCCCACTTGACGGAAGGCAACAGCCCCTAAACAGTGCGGGAACCGCACGACTCTGCATTGGAGAATGGCAACCCACACACAGAGACGGTACAGATGTTAAGTGTATGGCAAGAGACGGGCACCTGAGAAATTGTAGCTGTAGGTAAATGCTGAGAGTGTGTAGAAGACCTGCTACTGGATTACCAAAAACCAGCTACAGTCTGACAGGTCCTTTGAACACAGCACCCGGTGAGGTCTACACTTCTCCGTAGAGTTATTCAGCCTCAGAAAGGAGGGGAGTACGGTTCATGCTACAATGTGAGTGAAGCTCAGAAACATGATGCGAAGTGAACAGAGTCAGGCACCAAGGCCACCAGGGTGTGACTCCATTTCATGCTACATCCAGAACGGGAGAGTCCGGAGAGACAGAGTGGATGCAGGGAGCAGCGGCCAACGTATGGGGAGGAAGCACCAAAGGTCCTGCAGGCTGATGAGGGTCCCGGAACCTGACAAGGTGCTGCTGAACGTCACCAGCACAGACTCAGTCACCACCTCATACACTTGGAAGTAATAACTTTAAGATTTTATGTGCATTGGTGTTCTTACCCTGTCTAGTCAAGACCTACATAAATTTAAATATTAAAATTCACCCCAAATAAAACGAAGCGGAAGACTGATAGGTGGCTCTGGCTCACGTGCACGCCTTGCCTATCGGTGCCGGGCAGCGCCAACACCCAGACTCTGTTCTCCTGGCTTTCCTGTCTGGCTCCCTTGGGATGCCAGCTAGACCAGAAGGGGCCCGGGAACAGGGCTGTAGGAGCTACAGTCTTGCATCTTTGTAGGTCACACGCGGGGAGGAAAGAAGTCCCCATCTCACTGCTGGTCTAAAAGCGTCCAGCAGTGTCACACTGGCCCGTCCTGTGTCACAGACCTGCTTCTGGAAGAGTATTACAGCCAGAGGAGGAGGGTGTTAAAGGTTCACTTGTGTCCCCAGGAGACACAATTGAGTTCCAGCTCCCACAGCTGTGGACAGGACTGTCCCTGACGTAGCAGTATACCCGATTTACAAACGTGAAGAGTTAGGCTAAGAGGGGCCATCCTCGGACGTGACTGCTGTCCCTGTAAATGGAGGATAAGAGACACAGAGACGAAGGAGGGGGGCATCCACACACAAGCTGAGTAAGGACAGAGGCAGAGATGCAGCAATACATCCACACGGCAAAGAATGCCCAGGATCGCTGGTGCCAGAGCCAGGCAGAGGGGCAGGGAGCAGAACCCCTCGGCACCCTGGTAAGGAATGGGCATGGCCAGCACTTGAGAGAGAATAGTTCCCATTATGCCAGGTTGGCCGCGCTGGGGTTCAGCAGCCACCTAATGAGCACAGGGCAGAGGAGGGCACCTCTGGGCTACCCTGTTCACTCTGTCCACACCTTGCTTTTCACAGTATCGGGCGTTTGATAAGGGTAGGCTCAAACTGAGGACAGCCCCTGTCCGCTGTAGCCCATAGGGACGCCCTCCGAAAGAGGGCACAGTCAGAGGGCAGCCTTGGAGATGCCCGCGGAGCGCTGCCTTTCTCCTGAAGTAGGCTGGGAGTCCCCAAGCCCTGCGCCTGGGCTCCTGACTCTCAGGATGTGCACAGCCCCGAGGCACCCCCGGCAGGGCCATCCATTCCTGCACTCCTCACTCCCCATCCAGCCCTGGCGCCCACTGGAGACCTACCGAGGCAGAGCAGCCACAGGGATTCTGCGCTCATAGCGCCTTCCACTGGAGCCGGACCCTGGCTTCAGGCCGAGCAGGCAGCGCTCTCCCCTCCCGCCCGCCGCGAGCCCGGACCAGAGGATGAGGCTTTGCTCTGATGCTTTGGATCTGTCATCACCGGGTGCAGCATTTCCTTCTTGCAACCGACTCAGGAAGCCAGAAGCCAGCAGTAACCACACGTTCCACAGATGCTGGGGTGCGGCTCCACCTGCCCCGCCTCCTGGGGTCCTGCCCAGCAACGTTGTAAACTAATTTTGAACAAATATTGCTTTACTATATTTAAGTATTATATATGTCTACATCTTCATTAAGATGTTTTAATTTTGTTGTTGTTGCTTTTAGCTATTGGAGATAGTTACAGTTTCACACACAAAAAAAGAGTCATCATTCCTTGTTATCTGAGGGAGTTTGTTTCCAGGGTGCCCCAAACCAAAATCCAAGGATGCTCAATCCCTTGTGGAAAATGGGGCAGTGTTGGCATGTAACCCAGGCACAGCACACAACCACAGCATGCTTCCAAGTATCTGGATGCCCTGTGACACCCGTACAGGGTAAACGCTCCGGGAACCATTGTTACCCCGTGCTGCTTAGGGAATACACACAAGGACGCTTCCTCGGGGCAACTTCTCCAGAATATCTTCCATCCCTGGTGGAATCTGCCAGCGTGAACCTGTGGCTCTGAGTGCCCACTGCAGCAGAGCACCCACCTCCCCCTCAGTCACCACCCAGTGGTGACATAACCACAGGACATTTTCAACACCAGAGAGCCAGCATCTGCACAGACAACCCACAAGGTCACCGATGTCTCTCATCACAGAGAATATGGATAACAATAAGTGGGCAGGGCTTACAAGTGATGGATGGGTGTCTGTCCTTGGTGGAGATGACTTCACAGGTGTGCACTTACCCCAGACTCAGCAGGTGGTAGACATTAAATATATAGTTTTTTACATGTCAGTCCCACCTTAATAAAGTGCTTTAAAATTTTATTAGCTCATCTATCACCTTAAAAATGTATCATTTCCCTGGAGTAAGAATATCTGAAATCTCTTTCCTGAAATGGTCACAAGAATCAGCATCAAAATACTCCAGAACGGGAGAGGACAAGTCTCCCAGCAGCAGATCTGAGCGGCACCGTGTGAAACTTGCAGGCATCTCAGCCCGTGGGGCTCAGGAACGGGCAGGGTCGGAACTCGGGCAGAGTCCTCTTCTGCCTGTGTCCTGTTCAGTGCGTCTTATTTCTAAAATTAAATGTGGATCTCGGGGGAGGCTGTGGGTGCCAAGGACAGACCTAAGTTCAGAAGAGGATCACTGATTCTCCGTGCCTCCAATACAGGTTCTAGATGGAGCTGAAAGTGTGGCAGGGAACCCAAACCAGGTGAGCCCCTGTGGACGGGAGAGAGCATCCTGAGCCCTGGAGCCCCTCTGCCTGAACCAGCTGCCCTGGAGGAGGGGGAAGCCAGCTCTGAGGCCGTTTTTCATGCTCCATTAGAAACTGGGTAGCGTTGCTGGCCAAGATGCGATTAGGTGCCAGCAGTGAGCCGCGCTCGAAATCAAACCTTCCCATAGGTTACAGTTATTGGCAATGTTCACTCGTGTGTGTTTACAGGGCTCAGAGTATCTTCAGGCCAGATTCTAAGAGGGAGTGTGGATATGGAGTTTTGATAGAGAGCATCCAGTTTTTCTCTTGAAAGGTGGAGTGGGGAAAGGCGAGAGAATATTCCGCAGGTACCGAGTCACCATCCGTCAGGAGGAGTTCCCAGTGACTGCACATCGAGGTGACATAGTTAATGGTCATGGATGGTATGTTTCAACAGCCTTGTAAGGATTTTGTCAATTATCTGTCAATAAAACTCCAGGGAGGCTGGGGATGCAGCTCGGTGGTACAGCACTTGCCTATCACGGGATGAGGGGCCCTGGGTCCCATCCCCAGCACTGGGGGGTCGGGAAGCAGATGTGGTGGTGCACACCTGCAATCCCAGCCACCAGGAGGCTGAGGCAGGAGCAGGAGCATTGCAAGTCTGAGGCCAGCCTGGGCAACTTAACGAGACCCTTTCTCAAAATAAAAAGGGCTGGAGATGTTACTCAGTGGTAAAGCATCCCTGGGTTTGATCTCTAGTACTGAGAGAAAAAGAGAGAGAGAGAGAGAGAGAGAGAGATTTTCCTTGGTGTTCTTCGCCCAGACTGGCTGTAAAACCAGAGCTCTATTAACTGTGGCCACTCTTGACCACTCAGCAGCCCAAAGCCTCCTAAGCAGGAGTGAGTGGTGAGCATCTCCCTGGGATGGTGGGCGAGACAGCCCTCCTGCTGCCTGAGCACACCAGGAACATCTGGGTGAAGAAGGCCAGGCACAGGGGACAGCCAGGACAAGCCCTGTCGCCAGGGCAAAGGGCACTGGAGAGAGGCAACAGAAATAGGAAGGGAAACCAGAGAACTGGGAAGGGAAACCAGAAAATCGAGTCCTTCACCAAGGGGCGGGCAAACATTTCTCAGCTAGGACACAGAAGGTTTTCCCATAAAGGAAAAATATTCTTGGTTTCTCAGTTTCACCAACATTCAAAACTCTTGCTTTTCAAAAGATGTTAAGGGGCTGGGAGCTGGCTCAGTGCAAGGCCCTGGTTCAACACTCAGTATAGAAAGGAAAAAAGAAGTTAAAATCTGAAGGCAGGGCATAGACTGAAACCAATCATTGCTCAGCGTATATGGGCTGAGGGGCTTGTGTCCAGATTGTGTGTATCTTTACGTTGCAAAGTTAAGAAGATAAAGAATTCAGCTAAGCATGCCCCAGGACCCAGGTTCCATCCCCAGTACTGCCCCCCCCACCAAAAAAGAACTCAACTAAAAATAAAAGTGGATAAAATGTCCAATCAGCAACTTATCAGGAATATAAGTATGTATTATAATAGATGAGATGCATTTTGCATCCTATATATATATATAAATCGTATATATTTTATATTCTCAACATACACTCTTAGGAAAAGGAAAAATAAAGCCACAGTGATCAAACTGATGGAATTGGGATCTCAGAAAAGGTCCACACATACATGGGCTTTGGCTTAGGGTCCAGGTGGCATGGCTGTGTCAGTAGAGAAAAGAGCTCCTACGTTTTATTATGATCATCATAAAAATGCTTTATTGGTGAGGGTGCCAAGCCCGTCCCTGTCCCAGGGAAGGAGTCAGGAAGAGGGAGCCATTATTCAAGGAGCTGGGAGAGCCGGTGGCACAGGACACTGTCTCCGACCAGCTGACCCAACTTGTCCCGGGTTCACGGGTGCACTGGGGATCTGGGGGGAGCCTGTGGGTGCCAAGAACAGACCTGAGTTCAGGAGAGGATCACTAACGTATCCCCACCTCCAACACAGGTTCCGACGGTCCCCCTCCGCCTCCCCGCCTCCCCTCAGGTGCTTTCATGGAGGCTGACGGCTCCTTGTTAGATTCTACTGTGACGGGGGCTTCGCTGGCACCTCATAACAATTTAGAGTCTGTCCCTAAAATGAATAAGACAGTCCCACATGGTGAAAAGAACAGTCTACCTAATCTGCCATCTGTACCCATGCGGAGGAACCAGAGAGGTGCTCAGAGAACCCGGGCGGGTGGAGCACCGGGCGGCTGTAGCCAGTGGCGCGGCACCAGGTGGCTGAAATTTGCTGCAACAGTGGATCTTTACGACAGCGGCTTGGTGGCAATCATCTATCTCACCAGGAGTGGGAGGACGTATTTAGTGCACAATAAATGACCTGATTCTCCCTCCCAGGCTGACTGAGGCGAATAAAATTGGCAAATAAAAACAAGCGGACGTGGCCATAGTGTGTTCTGTTTCTGTTCACCAGTGACACCCCTCCAACCGTGGGGCGTCGCTGCAGCTGCCCGCCATGGGCGGTGCGCAGCTGCCTTACCTGGCCGAGCGTGTGGCACCCCTCTAGCATGCCAGGCTTCCAGCACGAGGACCACCCCCATCAGCAGGACGCCGGCCGCCACTCCCAGCCGCACGAGGTTGCCCTTGGTGTAACCCTCGGACGAGACCCCCGGGGAAGGCCTCCCCGCTGCTGGGCTTGGCCCTGGAGAAGGGAAGCTCGGTGTTGGCCCTGGCTCCTGTCCTGGCTTCAGCCCACCCCAGGAGCCCAAGGCTCACCTCATGGGTTCCCTGCAGGCCGAGTCCCTAGGGGGGACAGCAAGTCCCTCGCAGGTCGGGGAAGCCCACTGCGGCTCTCACCAACGACCATAAAGACCATAGAGACCTGACCTCCTTCCCTCCTTCCTTTCCTTTTTTCTTTTTTGGTACCAGGGATCGAACCCAGGGGTGCTTAACCACTGAGCCACACCCTCAGTCCTTTTTTTTATGCTTTTTTAGAGATAGGGTCTCACTGA